AGTTAAGACTAAAGTCTAACAGATAGCATCTCTTCTACTAGAGATTCCTAGGACTACACTTATAGCCCCTTACTACTTAACTAGCTGCTAAACAGACCTAATGCTTAGCATAGACAAGAAGACTGCAGCTAAGGCTTTCAGCTAATAGTAGGCCTAGCTCTTACTACTAGATATTACTATCTTCTTAGATAGCTTAGAACAGTACACTAAGGAAGGAGGAAAGTAGGTCACCTACAGCTTTGCAGTGTATTAAGACAGAAAACAACTCCAGACTGGACGCAGATCACTCCACCCTACCTCCCACGTCTTTAACGCTGAGGCAATAGGAGCGTGGAGAGGCCTCCAGCAAACTATAAGACAACCAGCGCTCCGCACCTGCCGAATCTGGCTGTGCATAGACAGCACCTCAGTGATATGGTGCCTCAGGGGCGACGCACCCCCTACCTCTCAATGGGCCTTTCTGGAGTGCCATGGTGCTATGGAGACCCACGACGTCTCTATTAAATAGGCCCCTGGACACCTGGGCATCAAAGGGAACGAGGCAGCAGATAGGCTAGCCAACCTAGAAGCCCAGCAGCCATCACCTGCAACTGGAAAAGCTGCCATGCCTACACTCTCGGGCATCAAGTCAGTCGCCCGCAAGATACTACAGCACACACAACAGACTTGGTGGTCTGACAAGAAGACTAAGCTCTCTGTGTGGTACAAGAGCTAGGACCTGGACTATGCGCCACGCAGCAGTCCAAAGGAGCTAGACCTACTAAGAGCCACCCTAGCCAGGCTACTCTCTATCTGATCTAGACATAGCAATTTTACCTAGTATTATTAAAAGTACAACTATAAGGATGCAAACCTCACCTGTTTATGCTAACAGGACAAGACACTAGAGCACCTTGCGCTTTGCTGCAAGACCCTAGGGACCTTCAGCAGATAGCCACTTTAACTACCTATACTGCTGTCTAGCTAGGCCGATAGCCTAGCGTACACTGCAGTACTAACAAGGGAGCTAGAGGCCTTCGAAGCCTTTGTCAAACTTACACAGTACTACACCAAGATCTGCCCCCGCTAGCTCTTGCAGTCCTGCAACAGCAGCAAGCAATGCAGCACCTAGCAGTAGTAGGTCCAGCACAACAGCTGCAGTACTCCCCACCCGTCTACCTCTATTACCCTTCCCCCTACCCCTCTCCTCCTCTCTCCCTACACGCACACACACACACACACACACACACACACACTCCCTCTCTCTCTCTTGGCACATAGATGCCTCAAAATGCAAGGAAATCACCCTAATGTACATACATCGCTCAGCCTCCCCAACTGGACGAGGAGCTGTAGTTTTAAAATGGTAGCAATACCCGCGCAGGCAAGAAATGCTTTCTAAGGTAGTGTGTTTGCACTGTAATTCTATAGCTTAGCACGTTATATATGCCCTTCGGGAGGCGAGATGGTGGACTTTGTCCCTATTAACTAGACGTAAAATGAATACTAACCAACCAACTAACTAACCCCTTCAGCCTAACGTCATCCTCTAACGCTTTGCCAAGAGTACCCCTGAGGCCTCTGACAGCAGCACAAGCTCTTCTTCAGTCTATTCTGGCAAGGACTGGCTCAAAATAGAGACTCTGTTGCGGAAGGTAGTCAAGGAAGAGAAGGAAGAGACTAGTCAGGAGCTGAGGAAGATCAGCCGCTCGCTCCACTATATATTAATTCAAAATCAGCTCCTCCACCACAAGAATCAGGGTCTTAAAGAGGCGCTTAAGACTTAGAAGAAGCACAAGAATAAGAGCAAAGTTCTTCAGTTCCAGCCTCGCAAGGACTATCACGGTGGGGCTGAGTTCTACTCTCCTAGCAGAGTAGAGAGAGCACGCTCTGACAAGAGGGCAAAACAACAGAATTAGAGAGCAGAAGAACATAGAAAAGCAGAGAAGAAGAAGGTCAGGCAAGCTAATAAGCTGTACAATGAGAGGATTGCTCAGGAGAGGCGTGAGCAGCGGGCAAGAGAGAAGGATGAGTGTGAGCAAGTCGGAGCTAAGAAGGCCAAGGAAGCAGCTGAACGCAAGGCTCAAAGAGAGCGCGATAAGCAAGCTTGCAACGCTGAAAAAACTGTACAATTGCCCCAAAGAGGCAAGCGCAAAGCTTCAGCAGCTCCTGCAGCAAAAATATCAAAGAAGCGTCGCACTGTGGGTGCTGCGCGTGGGGTTGATGCTGCTGAGCCTCCTGCAGCACCTCGCACCCACACCACGCGCAGCGGCCGAACAGCAACTCTATATAATTAATTTGTATGAGAGAATATTGTCGCAAAGGTCTATAGAGCAATCCACCACAAAATCTCGTGATAATGGCTATTGTATGCGGCTCTATAGCTTCATTTTTGCAGGTGCTTATTAAGGTGGTTTGGCGCATCACGCGAATCCGCGCATCACGCGCACAGACACAGTACTGTGTCCGTGCACCCAATAATTAGAGTCAACCAACAATTGTTCTGAGCCTGTACGGCCATCACAAAATTAAGGCTGTAGAGCCACCTACAATAGTTATTATTGTGAGATATTTTGATAGAGCATTCTATAGACCTATGCAACAAAGTTCCTAATACAAAGTTACTAGTATTTTGTGGCAGTGCGGCCACTCTAGGTGATAATAGTTAGGTGTGGCAGAGGAGGTGTCGCAGGCTTAGGATAACTACAAGCACCTACAGCACGACGCAGAGGCTTCTGTTTAACTGTAGAAGCTTTTAAGGATGTGTAATTGCCTCTTTAAGATAATTTAAGAGCTTTTTTAGCGTCGTGAGCTTCCTTATCCTTGCGTCTCTGCTTATTGCAAGCATTAATAGCTGCTCGCTCTTTTGCCTTAGCCTAGTCTCTTGCTTTTTTCTTCTCTGCCTGCTGCTTACGCTTTTCTCTTACTATCTTCTTATTGTAGATTTTATTAGCAGCAGCTTGCTCCTTTGTCTCTGCCTTTTTTTGCTCCTCCTCTTGCCTCTTGTGGTCTGCAACAGCCATGCAAGCGCGCACCTCCTAGAAGGACTAAGGAGACTACATTATTGCACCTCTATAATACTCTTAGTGTTGTTGCAGGTCTAGTTGCCTGTTAGGTTGCTTCTTATGCTTCCTGTTTTAGTATAGCTTCTTGCGCAGGCTATCTACTTTAACTTAAAGTAACTCTACTTAAGATAATAGATAGTAGATAGTTTAACCTAGCTTCTGCGTGCCTACACTGCGCAAATCCCTCACCTCTGCCTAAAGTGTGGTACAAGCCTTAAGCTAATTCTCTGCAGAATAAGCTGTAGAACTAGAGGAGACTAATCCTAAGTTGTTAGGGGTAGTGTAGTGGAACCTATTAAGTATAACGTTGGGATTTACAGGCAATATACTAGTAGCTGTGAAGGCCTTTAATATAAGGCTTTCTTTGAATGTGTTCACCTAGGCAGGCTAGAACAGGGCATAGAAGTTACCTTTAGACAGTGGCGCAAGGCCTTAAGATGCCTAAAGGTGGTTGTTAAGTTTATAGGTGTAGTTAGAGGAGAGAGGTTTAAAGCAGACTATGTCTAATAGCTGCAGAGTCTAGGTACTGTGAGGAGGTAACACTACTAATATAATCTGTTTCTAGTAATAGTAATTAATAAAATCTAGCGTTAGATAACTCCTGTAGCTATCTACAATTAAGAGGTAGTACCTTAACTGCGCCTTAGGCTTTAAGTAACAGTTAAACACCTGCTTAAGCTAAGCTAGTCTAATATTGTTGTTTGTCTATCCTAAGGGCGATGAGGCAACATAGGTTAAGTGCTTTTCTGCCTAGATTTCTACCACCCAGCGGCTCTAGAGGGTGGAGTTTTTTGACGCAAAGATGATGCTAGGTGGAAGAGCAGTACCATCAGCGCAGATCGCAGCTAGGAGGCTCACCCACTCACGCGAGCCATCTTGACAAGCCTGCCTGACCTCCTTCTTCTTATATTAATGCTTACTAAACACCTGTTTTGTTCTACCTAGCACTCTAATTGTAAAGCCCTTCTTATCTATATTATACGTGTTTTCTAGCGTAATGTTATATTAAGTAATCTTCTGCTATAGAAGCTTAAAGTATAACTTGTAATTATACGCTAACTCAGCGTTATAGCGATTAGAGTCTATGCTAGTAGCCTATTAGGACGTGAGCTAATTCCAATGACAGTGCAGGAAGCGCTGAACCTAGCTATTAGAGCAGGGCTGTAAGGCAACAGAGGATGCGAAATTCTGTACTATACGCCTTGTAGGTAGTAAGTGACGCGCTAACAGCTCCTCTATATACTTAACTAGATCTAATTCCTGTTAGTTGCTAAGTTTCTGTTAGTTCTTGTTAGCAATGTGTTAGGGAGCCTACACACCTTAGTGCGCACAGGACAACATGTTGCAATTAACACTGTGTTTTTCTACAAGCTTTGTATATATAAGTTTATTGCCTAGCTTTAGATTATTAATCTCTATAAGCGCATCTAAAATTCCTATTATAGTGGTTAAGTTTTTACGCGTTGAAATCTACTGCAAATGTTGTGCCCTGATTGTTGGTTGACTCCGATCGTTGGGTGCACGGACACGGTACCGTACCGTGTCCGTGCGCGCAATGCACGATTTTTGGGCCCAACGGGCTCACAAAAATGAGGCTCTACAGCCACCCACAAATAGTAAATATATGTAATATTGTGGTGTAGTAGTAACTAAAGTGTGGCGATTAATTTGTACTATTTGAATTTACTTGGCAGTCTGACGCTGCGGCCGCGTGACGTCGTGACGGGTGGTTGGCTTGAGGAGGCCTCCTGGGCTTGAGCACCACCCACGGCATCCACCACACGTTTTTGACGCTTGCTCTTTTGTGTAGATAGTAATAAGGCTCTCTTCTTGCCTGTTTGGGATAACTGTATAGGTTTGGCAGCGTTGTGGGCGTCTTTCTAACGTTGTTTTTCAGCTGCCTGTTCAGCTCTCTCCTTCTCCTGCACCTTCTTCCTCTCCTCTCGCGCCACACGCCTCTCCTCCTTCTCTCCCTCCTGTGCCTGCTTCTTCTTATCGCGTGCTTGCCGCTGCTCTACTTTTGCAAGCTCTTCTCTTTCCTCCTGTTGTTGTTGTAGCTGATAACGCTCCTCTGCCTCACGTCGCTTGGTAGGTGACCAGAAAGTTACTTCACTCTGATATTCCTGCTCCTGCTGCAGAGGCAGTACTTTAGGCTTCTTGTTGTGCTTGTTCACAGTCTTTACAGCCTCTTTAAGGCCCTGCAGCTTATGGTGTATAAGCTGATTCTGCACTAATAGATGGTGGAGAGTCTAATAAAGCTTCTGGGTCTCTCTACTATTGTTGTCCTTCACTGCAGCCTTGATAAGACTCTGGATTTTGACCTAGTCGTTACCGCTATACACAGAAGTAGACGAATCAGAGCTTTCAGCTGCCTCAGGGGTTCTGTGGGTGAAGCGATCAAGTACTTAGCTACTATCAGGTGGGCATATCCTAGTAACTCTGAAGGAGCTTATTACAGTACTCTCTGTAAAGCTCTTTAACTAAGCACGCTACAGTAGTGGAAAGAAGTCACCTTTCTTGACTAGGAGCCACCCTAGGCTTTGCTAGAGGTACTTAGTGAGCTTAATAGTATAGAAATGAGCTAGTGGTGCGAAGCAGACTACGTCCAACGGCTGGAGAGTCTGGGTTGAGTGCAGGGGCAGTATAGCCAGTAGAATTCGATAATTATCACAGTACTTGATGAACTCCATCATTATATGGGAGCCATAGCTATCTATAACTAAGAGCTGGTACTGCACACGTGATTTCTGCTTAGTATAGCAATTAAACACCTGTTTAAGCTAGGCAAGGCCAATGTTGTTGTTTGTCCAGCCTGTAGGGGATGTAGTGAAGTGTGCTGAGTGCTGTTCTGGTTTGATATTGTCTACCTAGCTTAATTGTATAGCTAGCCCAGCTGCCTTATATATAATACTAGGTGGTAAAGCACTCCCATCAGCACATACACAAGCCAGCACTGTCACCTACTCTTCTTCCTCTCATATTAACGCTTGTTAAATACTCTTTTTAACCTGCTAATGACCCCTATTATAAAGCCCTTCTCGTCTATATTGTATGTGTTTTCTAGCTCTACGTTGTACTCATTAATCTTAGAGTAGAGTATATTAAAGTACTGTTTATACTTGGTATATAACTCAGCGTAGTGGCGATTAGAGTCCATAGCGGTGGCCTAACGTAGCAGGAGGCAGTTGTTGTGACAGTGGAGGAAGCGAGTGACCCAGCTATTAGAGAGCGTCTCCTGCGCCACAGCAGAGGCGAAATTCGTATCATCTCTCCTGTAGGTGGTAAGCGACGGGTAATAAGTTCTTGTATATACTTTACAAGCTCTGCCTCTTGTTGTAGGTTAAGTTTGTGCTGCTCAGAGTACTTGACTGCACGCAACGTTGTCTGCTGCCAGTGCCTCCGCGACAACGTTAACTGACTGCAACTGTATTAATCTGCAATTTTCTAATAGACAAGTTTCTCTCCGGGTTTAAGTGCATTTATATGCGCAAGCGCAGCTTCAATTAGAGTCATGTTGTTGTGTTGTGACGCGTTGAAAAAGTTGCCTATTTTGAGGATATCGTGCATTGCGCGACCGCGTGCATTGCGCGCACGGACACGGGTACCCGGGTACCGGTACCGGTACCGGTAACATCGTCTCGGTACTGTTTCTGTTCTTCTTGCGGATCTTCGCCTTCTTCCCGACGTTACCATACACGGAACCCGCCAAAGTGAACTGGGCAACATTGGGATATTGGTCGGTCGTCATCTTCATGCTCGTCTACTATGCGTTTCGCAGTCGGCACGCCCACGGCAGCCTTATCGAGTGTTGTAACCACGTGGGTGAAGTCACATGATATCTTGTTGTAGAAGGTACCGCCCAGTGGGCAAGTGCACTTACCTCAGAGCTGAGAGCTCCGTACACAAACATCACAACACGACAACAGATAGCAATACAATTGTTGATCCCAGCCTCCACCCGACACTGCACCAGGCAGTTACAGTTATAAGCCCGGCTGTCAACTACACACGCTGTATCCGCTACTGCATGCCGACAAGCTATTGACTGCTGTCAACAGAGCTACGTCATCAAACTGCTACCTTTACCTTACCTTGTCAAGAGCCTTGAGCGCACTGTCCCGTACAAGAGTTGACATCTGAGAGCCGATAGAGCCTGATTCAGGATGGCTACTACTGAGCTGGATGGACTGATTACAAGGACGATGGTTATACTCGAGAAGCCTGCGGACTGGGAGGAATGGATCTTCCTACGAAAGGATAGCGCAGACAGGCATCAACTGTGGTCCATGGTTAACCCTGATCTTGATGAGGCGGCCCTTGAGAAGCTTGAGGAGCCAGCAGCCGTTGAGGCGGAGCAGTACCATGACGAGACTGAAGAGGACACCGGCGTTGTGCTCAAGGACATGACGACCGAGGAGTTCCAGCGATACCAGGAGGCGGAGCGGAACTACGATCGAGCACTGGCCAGATACACGATCAAGAGGAAAGCGTTAAATGACTTTACCCAGGAGATCGGCCGAACAATCAGCCGCCGCCATATACACCTGATTCAGAGCGACGATACTGCGTACGCTCGCTTGAAGAGGTTGAAGAAGCACCTCTGCCCATCGACGGCTGAGAGGGAGCTACAGTTGATAACCAAGTATCGACAACTACAGAGTCGACCAAGGAACAACATTGATAGTTGGCTTGAGGAGTGGCTGCACGTCGTGCGGATGTGTGAGGCA